AAAAACAGTATGCTTGAGCATTCTCTACTTTTTAAAGGTCGCATCATGTCCCATTTTTGGTTTATTTACATGCCGCTGTTCTGCGTTGCGTTCATTTGGAAGTGGTCTCAGTCTGCTTGTTTGGTGCACACCAGGATTCGGATGCCAACTTATTCAAATGAACCGCACTAACAGAGAAATCGCACCAGGGTTCATTTTAATCGGTTCAAACATACCAAATGTGAACTAACCCCTAATCAATAAACAGTACCAGAAATAAAATGCAAATGATTACCTGAGATGAAGTTTCTCTAAACTGGCATCTGCCAGGTCATCATTAGCCCTCTGGTGTATATCCTCTGGGTCTCAATCTTATGGTCATCAGACAGGCCGTCTACTTTATGGATGAACACTTCAAAGTTGATCTCTGGGTTGACTCTGTAGGCCCGTGATACTGTTAAGTGGAGTCGACAAAGGCCTCCATGTAGTCATCCTTTGAGAGGAAAATTACATTTTTACATATTTACAAAATAAAAGAATGCAGAAATACAAAAGAAATATGCAAAAAAAATAGGTCAGTCTCCTCTAAAAAGCAGAAGAAAAGAATGTTCTTGACAACACATTTTGTTATGGGGTTTGCTAATCTGCAATCTAATCAACCATATCCTTTCAAAACAACTTTCAGCTAGAAGAAATACTGAAGTGCTGAGATAAGATACTGACTTCTCTGTATCAGCAGAAACATAGAGTCAATCTTGTGCCTTTTTTTTTTTTACCTTAAGCCAAAATGATACAATGAGCCAAGCCTAAATGACAAACAACATTCAATTAAATGAAACAAGAATGTCTGGACTCCAAGCCAAGATTTATAATCTAACCATTTACAACCATTAACCCATTTCAACTGCAGTTAAACACACTATTTACAACAGCTTCTCAATTGGATACATGGGAAAGGGGATTCTACAGGGGGAAAAAGTCAAACTTCCTTTGGCAATGACAACTTTTTATTAATTTGTAGTAAAACTACTTTAATTTAGAAATGTAAACAAACTACTGATGAGAAGTTCAATTTTATCAGGGTAGAAATAAAAGAAGAATTTTTTGTTTGTTTTTTTAAACCTAGAGCTCTACAATGGATAAATTGAGAATCATGATTTATTTTTATTTTTTTTTTGTTTCTAACAGAATGATTCCGAACAAAAAAATAATAGAGGTTCTGACCAATGTTACAATAATTTCTGCAGTCTATTTAAAATGTTTAATTAATCTGAATGAATTATATAGAAAGAAGACTGTTTAAATGAATGATTCAATGACTCACTCATAAATACTTTACTTTTTAAATAAATCTCTTAAATAAATGTTTCAATGACAAATACATTTTTAACAGTCACTTGTCACAATGTAATCAATACAATCGTCTTTTTAAGCAACAAGTTACAATTAAAAGGTAATTTTGACCACTCTACCGTAGACAGTCTTCATATCCAAACTATAAACTTTCATTACAGTTCTTCAGTAATAATATGAATATCTATACCACAGAAATAATAATACTGTGTGTTTGACTATTTTGAAAAACTGTTTATGTGAAACTGTTTAATACCTATACATTTCAACCGCTCTCTCTGGGTCAGCAGCAGCGCCGCCGCAGATTTTAATGTTCTGGTGTGATTTTGTCAAAGGTTTATTAGACAAAGGCAAATTGTTGTCATTTAGGAATGAGACCATGTGAGTGTTTGAATCGAGATTGTGATATTTTAACGATTAATTGTGCAGCTCTACTAGATATTATACCAACGGAAATTATATAGCTGGTCAGTATTTGTAATTACAATGTTTCACAAAAGAATCCAGTCATCTTGAATTACTGACAGAAATGCATCACTATGTTGTATGGGTGTGTATAGTAATTAGAGTCAATGCATTGAATTTTCAGTTTCACCTGTGCATCGATGACAAATATCAAGGCCCCAGTTCCTCTGAAAATCATCTCGTAGTCAAAGGTAGGATCAAAAAAATCCACTTGTCCAGGAAAGTCCCAGATCTGGAAGTTGACAAAGGAACTGCTGGAGATGTCATCTTTGTATATCTTGTTGGTGCTCTCCAAAAAGAGGGTCTCATTGGGGGACATCTTATGAAACACCACCTGATAAAAGACATTTAATACATCAAAAGCATTCTCAAAGTGATCTGTCTCCTCTCCACAAGGAAATAAAGTCAACCAGTTGTGAAATCAAACTAAAAGCCCAGTCACATGCTTCATGAGGAGCTTACTGATGGCAAGGCTTATGCATCAGAGGCCTCAGATTCAAATTCTTATATTGTAAAGCTTAAAGGTTGCCCTCTTTTAGCAAAAAGCTTATACATTTTCTATTTATTTTAGTAGCCCCTGTATCATTAGTAAAAATCGTTTTGGACATTATACGGACACCAATTGTGCGAAATAATGAGAAAAAGAAGTAAAAAAAGATATAATTCAACTATATACAATTTTTGAAAGGGTTTTCTATTTTTTAGTAGTGATACAAGTTTAAATTCTGATTTCATCTTTCGCTCGCAAAATAGACACTAAAAAATAGAAGTCATGTTCGCCACAAAGTAAACATAACAGCAGTATGCTGCTCACACACTTTCCATTTAGAACCAAGTGGAGCTTAATATAAATTCTGCAGTTATCAATCATAATTTTACAGATTTCATATGTCTAATACACTCTCATATACCTTGAAAGTCATTGTATATTTTGCTCACTGCTGACACTTACTGGCGTGGATGAATGATGCTGCGGTTTCACAACTGTGTTTTTTTTTTTTCTCCAGGAGTGCTAAGTTGTGACTGTCATGTGTTCACGTTCAGTGCTAGACGATGCAGCTTTTATCCTGAATTGGCAGTGTGGAAGTTGTAGGAAGTCGTGACTTGTTTCAACAAACCAAATGGAACAGCTTGTTTACAAATAGTTTGTTGTTATAATGTTTGGTGCATTTAGAATTGTTTTTAAAGCGCATAAGCACTGGCTGAAAATGCTATATAAGATAGTGTTATCCCAATCAATTGCATGGAACAGCTGGTCATGTGACGTCACCATGGAAGCGCCCACACAAGGGTGCCCGCTCCATGTACAATACAACTTACCATACCAAATGAATAGCCTTAATGCGCAAAAATTGTAAAACGAAGAAATTAAAATTCATGGACAAAAATGGGCTAACTGTAACCCATTTTTGTTCGTATGATCTACAATACATCATCGATGTTGAGAGGTTGTGATGTATGAATAAGCATTTCGGGTTTTGATATGAAATCACGTAACTTACTGCCACATCAATGCCGGGTGAGTGATCACAACATGAACATAGGACATCTACATGCTACATATTCCTAGCCAGCTGTCTGAATGTGCTGTATTAGGCCTGTGTGGCAACCAAGTCCGTATATCCACCGCTGCTTAAAAAATAACGTAGGTTGATGACGTTAGTAACGGCTGTGACAGCTCGGCTGCCCGGGGAGGCTCTGACCCGGTTCTAACTCGCTCGGCTAAGAAGTCAGCAGGGGGAAAGAACGTAAGTTACACTGTCTAAATAAAATATCTTCCTCTTACCTTTTGGATAGATGACTTTCCACTCCTCCTTAATCCCATCAAAAGAATCCTCGGTTTGCTGTCAGAGGGACTAGGACTGTCTTCAATGTCTCCCTCCTCTTCTCCATATCCAAAATCTTTGGGAAACGAGTCCGCCACCCCGTAGCTGTCCGCCAGCGGTGCCTCGTACTGGATCGACATGTTGACCCCCCTCCCCAACCCCTTTAAAATATTACCTGGCTGATTATAAGTAATATAATCAGCATAAAATAAATGCCGAGAGGACAAACATAAAACCTCGTTATACTAGAAATGGATGAGAGCAAACTTATTATGGATTCTCCTTTAAATCTTCAGTCTCTTATGTTTCCCCTCTCGATGAAACGCCCACTTAAGATCGACACTCGCGTGTATTGGGCAGCCACCAGGTAGCTCGTATGCTGATTGGACAAATATAGTGTCACTCTTCTTAGCTGTTGAAATGCGGGCGGATCGTTCCAAGTCATGTGCCTGGTGGTCACCTGACAAACGGAATCGTGTGAATGGTTGTTTTTTTTCCCGATCTTTCACCTGAAATGGTGTTTTGTCTTCAAATGCTGATAAAGAATAGTTGGTAAATGTTAAATGTTGTTTATCTCTTTTAATTTTCTACTCCCCGCCCCGGATATTAAACAAACTGTATGCCTTTTTAAAACAAAAATGAATCAGCTTTGTTTTGCTAAAGTGACTGCACTGACAATTAACACGTCGGCCATCATGATCGATGTATGAGAGGCGAGCTATTTTATAAATACCTTATAGCTTTTAACATTATGCATGCCAAATATGGTCGTTTTAAAAATGTTAATATTAAAAATAAAACTGACATTTACTTTTAGACCTTCCAAAACTTTATTAAACAGTGTTGTTGTTTTTTTTTATTTTTATTTTTTTATAATAATGCCACATAAATCATGTATACCTGTTTTATGTGCACCAAAGACTTTTACAACACTGGCTTACCAATGTGTCACATGGCTGCAAAGCCAAAGTAGGTATTGTTCAGTTTTACCAATGTAGGCTATGTGCCATTGCACAACTATACTTTTAGAGTTTTCTGTCAAGATTGCAAAACTGCTGCAGTTTAGTTTTCACAATTTTAGCACCACCACAGATACACTGAATTCGTCAAACATTCATTTAAAAGATAAATTTAATGATCAATGGAATTTTGGGACAACAACAGATTTGTTTCTGTGGTAAGATTTGTTGAAATGGTGTTAGTAAAGTTTGTCATTCAAGAGTTAGGAATGTAGAATTGTCTATATCTGCTTAATTTAAACAACAGTTTTGTAGTTTGAATGACATGGATTGCGTTTTGTTTTTCACTAATGTTTTCTTTTTCTAAAACAGAATATAATGCAGTTCTTAATACTAAAATTAAGTAGCATTGCTGCTAATATCTCGAGTCAAAGTATAAATATTTTTGTGAAAACTCAAAATAAACATGCATTAGTCCAGTAGATGGTGTTGTGAGCACGTACTCTGTAATGTCTTATTAAAATTCTGGGAGAACAAGAAATAATCAAAACAACTTTTAAATGGCTCTGTTGTCAAATTGTGATTATTCTCTTTAGTCAAATATTATTTCTTGAGAAATTAAGCGTGATATGAATAATATACATGCTTTTGGCTTGGATGAGATACACTCGAAATTTGTCAGAGCAATGCATTAGAGAAATTAGTCAGAGTGTGCATTACTTTCGAATAATTCAGCGTTCAGTCTTATTCTGCTTTTTTAATCTTTTGAGATTTAGTTGATATCTATAGAAATGCTCTTTGTCCACATGCGTAGAAAATACTGACTTTACAATACATTTTCAATCTGGCTTGATTGCAGATCAGTTTATTTAGCTGTAATAAGACATGCAGATAGAACAGTGTTTTTTTACAATATATTTGCTTTTTTTGCAGATTTTTTTTTTTTACTGCTGATCTAAATTCAGCTCTATGTTGTTAAATTGGGATTTTTTTAACCATTACACCATTTTGACTTCTGTTGCAAGAAGCACTTAAAAATAGAAATGTCCAGATGAGAACAAGGCATACATAATCAAACGCACAATCCATTTCCTGTATTGTAGTCATACTACTATTGTTAATTAAGTATACTGTCAGTGTGTACTGCTGAATTGATATGTATAAAATGAGAGTGTAAACAATCCATAAGGAGTGTTACCACTCTATAAAGTTGAATATAAAATTTCAGTCTGAGATTGCTTCCGTGCTAACATCAAAGCTGTAGATGTTAACCTTACAGTCACTCTGGTCCATTTCTATCAATTTATGGCTACAAAAATTATATGGTTACCATCTGTGAGTTTTTCTCATATCTTTAAGTCTGTGGGAGCAGCTCGCCTGCTACTGGAACTGCTGGCCAATGAGGCACGATGGCTTGGTGATGCTCGTGGACTATGCCGGGACTCAGAGCTGGATTCTTCTATTGAATCTGGAGAGGTGGGCCTGCTCCGCTTGGAATCGGACCTGGACAAAGTACGTGCCCGCACAGCGGCGTAGGGACAGCGGGCTTTAGCGCCTTCCAGGGAATCCGAGTCTGAGCCATTGCCTTCTACAACCGTTGAGCAGTTCCGTGATGCGCTGGCCTTCCATGGCTTCTTTCCAATGCCAGATGATGAGTAAGAAGATTCTCTGTGGTGGCTCGATGAGTCTGGAGTCTTGGACTCCTGCCCTTTCTTGTGCGAAGGTGGTGGGTGGACAGAATCTTCCCCCTCTTCTTGCTTTGGCGGCGTGACGGAGTTGCAAGGTGGCGAGCGCGTGTCACTGCTGGTGTTATTGGAATTGCTGTTGTGCTCTGTGGGACTGTGTTGTGAGTACTTTGGTGCATCTGAACCATTTTTAGCTGGCAAATCACCCTGAACGGGCAAGAAAGCAGAGGATGGGTTGATCAAAGGGGGGTAGACGGTTCCATCAGGTGGTCTCTCGAGCAGAAGGTTGTATCCACTGGGTGCAGATGCAATGGTGGCCTTGCGGCCAGTTGAGGTCCCGATGCACGTCTGATGGACCACAGAATCTTTCTTCAGCTTGTTGAGATAGTAGCTGTCATCAGGATCATCCCTCAGCTGCGGGTAGTAGTTCAAAATAACCTTTTTAAGCTTTTTGTAGCCCAGGTGGAGGATCTCTAGGATGTTGAGAAACAGTGAGATGGCAGCTATGCATTGCATGAACACCATGAAAACGCTTTTCTCAGTGGGACGAGATACAAAGCAATCCACCGAATTGGGGCAGGGCTCACGCTCACATTTGTACAGCGGATTTAGTCGAAACCCATACAGAACATATTGTCCGGTCATGAAGCCCACTTCTACGGCAGAGCGGGTGACTATGTGAGCCACGTAGGTGCGCAGAAGGGACCCCCTCAACGGAGCTTTGTTCAGCTTCCCTTGGTCAATCTGCCGAAGCTCACGTTCTATTTTGCGCCGAACTTCTGCCAACTCCACATCCACGGCCTCAAGTTCACGTCTCAGTGCCATCTTTTTGCGCTGTCGCTCTTTCTCAAGGGCACGGAGGCGGTAGAGGGCATGGCCCATGTACACAAGTGAAGGTGAAGACACAAAAATGACCTGCAGCACCCAATAGCGGATAAGGGAAATGGGGAATGCTTTGTCATAGCACACGTTGCGGCATCCAGGCTGCTCGGTGTTGCAGATAAAGTCAGCCTGTTCATCATTCCACACATCCTCGGCCGCCACCCCAAGCACCAGCATGCGGAATATGAAGAGGATGGTCAGCCAGATCTTTCCCACCATAGTGGAGTGGATATGCACCTCTTCCAAAATCCCGCCAAGGAAGTTCCAGTCTCCCATTTTCACTCTGGCATTTTTGAGTCTGTTAGGAGAGGAAATAAGAAGAGTCATGAAAATGGACCGTGAGTCACATTTGAATAATGTAATACACTGAATTTAAATTTTGTGCCAAACTATTATTTGATTATCATATATATATATATATATATATATTAGGGCTGTGAAACGATTAATCTCGATTAATCGCATTCAAAATAAAAGTTTGTGTTTACGTAATATATGTGCGTCTAGTGTGTATAATTATTTTGTATATATAAATACACACATATGCGTGTAAATATTTAAGAAAAATGTGTTCTCAATATATCAAATATTATATAATATATATAATATATGTATAATTATATATATTAAGTATATACATGCAAATATTTCTTAAATGTATTTTATTTATTTCTTAAACTTTTATTTTGGATGCGATTAATCACAAATTAATCGCGATTAATCGTTTCACAGCCCTAATATATATATATATATATATATATATATCAGTTATATGTCATTATATATCAGACATATCAGTTTCATCCTGTCATTTTTATTTGAAATGAACAGAGCTAAGCTTTCCCAAACTAAGAACATCTCAGAGTTACCCTGTATATTAAATGCATAAACCATAAATAGCTGGACTTCTTTTTCAAAACTAGGAAGGAATAACATAAAAAAGAGACAAAATTTGCTGGCAAAATAAAGAAATTGATGCAAGATCATAAAGTCTCCATTGCAAGCATCGAAGCATCTCAGATATTTGGTATAATTCAGACATAAACATTGAATCCGCCAGATTAATGTCAGATCACTATAGGTTTTCAATTACAGGTTCTTGTTTGGTTGCAAAGAAAATAATAATAATACATTTACCTTTTTTAGAATATACCTGAATTTAATGTAAACAAATTCATTTGGTCCCAAACAACAGATAGGCAAATGTTAGACTAGAGTCACTGACTGATTATTATGTTTCCAGCATGTTATATGTTTGGCAACAGTTTTTCTAATCCTAATTGGTGGAAGTGTGTTACTTAAACAACCATGTAGGAAGACACATCTTGGCCGTTTTCCAGGATGACAATGTCAAGATTCATCAGGCTCAAATTGTGAAAGAATGGTTGGTTAGGAGGGAGCATCTAGAATAATTTTCACACATGAATTGACACCTCTTGAGTCCAGACCATAAATTAATTGAAAGACTTTGGGATGTGCTGGAGCATACTTTACAGAGTGTTTGACTCTGGCATTGTCAATACAAGATCTTGGCCAATTAACAATTGATGCACCTCTTGATAGAAATAGCATCACAACAATTATTTCCATCAAGACGTGCATACATCTTGATCTAGATCTTTGGTCAAGAATGTTTAATAAATGAAAAGCTACACACTCCATCAAAAAGGGTTCGAAGAACTGTCTCCAATCACATGCACTGCAATAATGATCCAAACATTGCCTAACTTAGGCACCTATATTACATATAATTACAGCAAGCTTAACTAACCTCTCTAAATGACTTACTAAATAATCAACAAAACATGCAGTGCTACTAAATGCAGTCAATCCGTGCATTACTCTCTTTTTGTTGAAAGTAAACATAGATAAATGAACTGAAGCACAGACATACCTTAAACAAATTGGGAGAAAATGAAGTAAATCTTCATTGTAAAAGCATCTCAAATGCTACTCCAACCTCTACATCTTGTTAAGTAGAAAAAGCTATAGAGTTATTCCATCCTGTTTATCGTTAAAGCTCTAGACTAAACACAAAAAAAGCAGGTCTTCTTGATGCCAACTTATAGGCATGCAGGAGAAATCAATGCGCTATCACATGTCATTTACCTTACAGCAGTATGGACAGAAGGCCGCTGCTTTAAATCCCCGCGGGTCATGCAGGCGCGACGAGGCCACCAAAATAGTCAAAAATCATTGATGCCCTGCACATCTGACGCAGCACATCACCTGAACTTTTTTGACCTCCCCCAGTTTCCTCTCTGTTGGCACCGAAATAAGGTTTCCAAATGTGCTGGGGTCCGTGGGCAAGCGCGCTGGTTCTGTATGTCTGTGCGTCAATAACCAGTACTCCACTATTAACATGAAGGGACACGGAATTGATTGCGTATGCCATGCGTAAATAAAACATTGTCGATTGATAAAGCCCCCTTCTGTATGAATTTAAAGCTCTTTTACACTTGGTGCCCACTTCATGGTCTTGTCTTGTGCACCCGCTCTTAATCAGTAGACAGTCTTAACATCAATTAGAGAAACGTTTTTCAGCTGAATAGCAAAAATAGAGCAATTGTGCAGGCAAGCCAGAGCTAAAAGCACGAGCGCAACACTACTGGTGAATTTCCATGATTTGTAAAGAGAAATTAAGGCTTGTTGGTTCTTTTAATAACATAAAATTTAAACTAATGACTGACATTATGAGTGTAATGTTGAATAAAACTACATTGAGTGTTGTTTATTGTTATCCATGTTAGGGATCACAGCTTAACGCAATGCTTCTATGGCATTTGGCCACATACTGGCACTACTTTTAGTAGTCAATACTTTGGGAGGCAATCAATCGGTCATGTCCGATTTCATACTCCGCTGGGTCCAGCCCAATGTAATTAAGTTGTCTCTGCTAGTTGTGGAGATATTTTATTCCATTTAAAAGAAATCAATGGTGCAACCCCATTACACTCACTAACTATGCTGTTGGTTTAATCTCTGGCCTGCTATTTAGGGGCATATCAGGCAAGCCCTATTTAACATAGTGAGTTAGTCTCTTCATTACATAATTTGATTCAGACTTGGCATGCCTTTAATGAATAACTGAATGAATTAATATAGCTTTGATATCTCAAAAAGAGAAGCACATCAGGTTAGATTGAATGCATTTCATGCTCCCTGGTCATAAAACAATCTTTCCAACTTAAACATTAAAAAATATTTTATGCATTTAAACACCATCCTTGTTCATGCCTAATAAGTTGACATCTGTTATTAAGCCATAAAGGTTCAAAATCAAACATTATTGGAATTGTCACAATAAAAGCACTACTTGACTAGTCTGTTTTTGGAAGACAATTTAGTTTCAGACAGTTTTTCTAATGACTAACTTTTTGAGCTTAATTAAATGTTTATATATACCGTTATACTGTACAGAGACAGTGAGACAACAGCCATTAATCTGATTCGTCGTGATACGTCAGTATATCTGTCGTAGATGTGGTCAAAATAATCAATGCATCCATATGTGTGTGTGTGTGTGTGTGTGTGTGTGTGTGTGTGTGTGTGTGTGTGTGTGTAAACTGTTGTCATAAGATTTCAAGATGTTTCAATATAAGTAAAATATATGTAAATATATGATATATTTCTGCATCATTACTGCAGTTGTCAGTGTCATATAATCCTTCAGAAATTATTCTAATATGCTGATTTTAATATATGCCCAGGAAACAATTATTTTCAATACTGAAAACAATTTTCAATATGGAAAAAAAATATTAAAAACAACTGCTTAATATTTTTCTGGAACCCTTGATACATTTTTTGATCTTTTTCTGATTAGTAATCACAACATTTTTTCTTTTGTCAACTTAAATAATTTATTTAGTTCAGATAACATATTATTTTGAGTTTCTGATGATTAAATCAATCTCCTTCATTGTATTAACTCACTTTTTCCATTTCAATTAACTTAAAATTTTAAGGCAACCAGGTTACTTACTTTTTTAAATTAAACCAACTATATTTTTTACAGTGTATAAAGAAGATTAATTTGAGATAAAAAATTCTGTCACTTTTGAGATAAAAATTCTGTCACTTTTGATTTAACCCTTAACCCTTGCGTCTACATTGAATACAAGTATTCGTTTCTTTCAAAGAAAGATCTTAAAGACGCAACACTTTCGAAAGGCAGCGCAGATAATGTAAAAATAGATTAGAACAAACTGTTTGCTGAAGACAGGGGAATATCCCACCCATGGTGGTGCTCGATCGGCATTTCTGTTAGTTAGGGCAAATAAATGAAATTTTGATGAACATTTAGTTGAAAACACACCCCCAGACATAAATCAATAGTGTTCTAAAAATAGCCCAGGATTAGATTAATATATTCCAGGAATGAGTGTGTTGCACATTGATTTGATCCACAACCCAAATTCTGGTTTGTACTGGAAAGCTAGTCATAAATGTCCCTAATTGATGTAATTTGTCAACAGAGTGGAAAATCAGCCTCAAAGCAAACTCTGCATCCTCAAATGCACTTTGAGGACTTACAGGTCACATCAGGCAAGATATTTTCAAAAACATGCATTGAAAATGGCAGATATTCAGTTAGCACAAGTGTAAAGTGTGCACAAGAACGCGTATCGACAACAGAACCGGAAGAGAATACAATGCTGAATAAAGTCGTAGTTTTTGTCATTTTTGGACCAAAATGTATTTACGATGCTTCAAAAAATTCTAACTAACCCACTGATGTCACATGGACTACTTTGATGATGTCTTTATTCCCTTACTGGACAAGGACAGTATACCGTACATACATTTTCATTGGAGGGACAGAAAGCTCTAAAATATCTTAAACTGTGTTCCGAAAATGAACACAGGCCTTACGGGCTTGGAACAACATGAGGGTGAGTCATTAATGACATAATTTTCATCATTTGTGAGTGAACCAACCCTTTTATACGGGTATCAGTCCTTGTTTGCCGCAAACACACGAAGGGCTTCAGTGAACACTGAAGTGCCATGAATATCATAGTAGCTCAAACAAATGAAAATTGATTTTTGTGAACTGAATATACCTGGAATGATGTGTTTAGACTGACAAGAACACTGTATCCAATCCATATCGGCTGGCAATCAATGATCTGTTTTGGAGAACTACCAACTAAGGGGACAGAGGGTCAGAGGACATTTGTTTTGGGATGCTTTCATGTGTGAACTCACTTTACCCTAAGCTATTTGGCATGGTACAATATTTACTCTACAAACCCCAGAATTAACCAGTACATAAAACAATTACATGTGAAGCAAGTGAATACAATTAATTAGCTTGTATGAATGTTCGTACATTTTATTTTTAAAACCACATTTTCCAACAAAAACACAAACAAAATATGATAATTATGAACATGTCACTGTAGATACATGTCATTAGCACTGAATTGACTTAAATAACTATTGATTATACACTCACCTAAAGGATTATTAAGAACACCATAGTAATACTGTGTTTGACCCCCTTTGCCTTTAGAAGTGCCTTAATTCTACATAGCATTGATTCAACAAGGTGCTGAAAGAAATGTTGGCCCATATTGATAGGACAGCATCTTGCAGTTGATGGAGATTTAAGGGGATGCACATCCAGGGCACGAAGTTCCCGTTGAACCACATCCCAAAGATGCTCTATTGAGTTGAGATCTGGTGACTTGTGGGGGCCATTTTAGTACAGTGAACTCATTGTCAGGTTCAAGAAACCAATTTGAAATGATTCGAGCTTTGTGACATGGTGCATTATCCTGCTGGAATTAACCATCAGAGGATGGCGGCCATAAATGGATGGACAATGAACTGATCGAAAAACTTTCCAGACTTTCTACAGATATCGACAACAAATTGACTTGCAGCATTCGGTGTCCATTATGGCCATGTTCATCAGTGTGTGTAGACAAATGGTCAGGTGTTTCACAAGCTGGTGGATGGAGGAAGCTGGAGAACAGAAAAGGATGGAGAGAAAAAGGAAGATGACGGTTGTCAAACCTCTGAATCCAGTGAGATCTTCCGAAAGCAATCGAGGGAGAAATCCTGATGTTTACCAGCGCCTCCGAACACGTCACATTCCCAGCCGCTCGCTTCAAACTCCTGCCGCCAGTGACATGATACAATTGGCATAAGTTTTTTTTTTTTTATTATTCAAGCTATCATTCGCCGGCAGGCAGGATGTACATGTTCAGATGAAGACTTCATCACACGATGGAACAGATGTGACTTTGTGTAGCTGCAAACATTAGCAAACAGACCTTTGCTTTGATTTGATTATTACCTCTGTTTTTCACCTCCCATATGACAGCATTGTTAACCCATCCACTTTTGAAAAAAAGATAGCTATCTGTTCTTTTGTAGGCTTTTATTTTTTGTGCAAGGTGGTGTAAGGCGACGGATTCTCTATAAGATATATGCAAATATCTCCAAACTCCAAGTCTGGTAGAGACTTTGCCAGCTTCAAAGCAATGAAAACATCAGTGGGTGCTGGGTATGGATCACATGTTCCAAGTATGTTAATCTTTTCTTGATATCTAATTGTAAGATTCGGTGACATATGGTCTAAATAGTTAATTGTTTGTAGTATTGGAAATTTGCAAGGCTGTAATTCCCCTGGCTGACCACTGTTTTTCGCCATTTTAACAGCGTTTGTTGCCCACCATTGTAGTCACGTGACTGCAAAGTGTGAATTGAGCTGTTTTAGTCATGACACGAGTTTGTAGCCCCGCATGTAGAGGGCTCAATTTTGTGAATACAAAAAAAAATGGTCTCAGAAAAAAAGGAATCAAAATGTAAATTTTTAAACATGTCTTTGTTCCCGAGTAACTAAATAACTTCAGGAGTGTTTAAGCAAAACCAAAAAAGAGAATATTTGGATGTAAAATCTTTCTTAAAAATTACATTTATTTATTTAAAAATTCATAGATTGAATGTAGTGTATTAGCTTGTAAATCCTTTCTGACAGTTATATTGACCTGAGACTTGCTTCTTTTAAAAAGCCATGATTGTCCAATGTGAACTGATGCATGACTTCAACCATCATCCTCACGCGGGTGCTGGGGACAGGAAGATGTTGAAAATGACAGCAAACAAGAAGAAGGCAATGTATCCCACAATGCACATCCAGAAGCGTGGGTCCTTGAGGAGCGCTTTATCGTAGTTGGTGAAAAAAACATAACCAATGGTCATGCCTGCTACACCACCACCAATATGGGCCACAAAGGAGACCTAACAAAAAAAAAGGAAAGTATGAAGGACTTTTCTAGTATATTATCATATAATGAAGTGTGAAAACTATATCCAGAGTGAATTCTTGTGGTAAGTCAGATTTATTAAGCTTGTAGTCTGAATCATTCTAGTTGAGTATTAGGTATTCTGGTTTAAATACCTGGTTTATGATTCTGCTATGGTCTTAAATGTCTTACCTTCATGGCAGTGTCATGGACAATGAACCTTCTGTAAATAGCAAATCCAACATCTGTTCCAACTGGGGGAAAAAAAAACATTTTCATGTCAATAGGTCCTAACAAAAAGCTTAGTTTATCCAAACATTACTATTGGTATCTTTTTTGACATCTACTATTAGAGTGAAAAGTTAAAATGGGCCGTACCAATCAGAACAATTACCAGAATGCGAAACACTCCCACAAGTGGAATCATCTCCCTGAAATTCTATAGGGAAAAAAAAAAAAACATTTTGATTTGGGTACTTGAGTGTAGTATTTTCTATAATCCCATCAAATATTACTGGAAAATTACTCACTACAACAGCATTCATGAAGTAACCTCCCATGAGGGCATAAACACCACCTGAAGCACCCACAAGAGCACTGAGAGGATCAAAGATAGAGCTGGCGAGAGAGCCTGAAAGAGGATTCATACACAAACACACACATATGAAGATTTGGATCAACAGCAACATTATAAAACAGTCAAATGTTAATATTTTTCAACTAAAACCATATTGTATCTAATCAGTATATTTTCATGAATGAGTCAATGTCCAAAATGTTTGAATGTTATCATGTTCTCACTATGCCTTCATACTTCATTTACCCCCTTTTTATCAATAAACATTTTTTTGATATATTTGAAAAATTGTATTTGAAAAATTGTATTTGAATATCAATTTATAAAACATGAATGAAAATTAATTTAATTGAAAATGTAGACTATTTGGTCTATGAACCTTTGCTCTACAAACACATTAAGACCATCTGTTGTGTGTGTATATAAACAAAATGCAGTAACTTTCCTACACTTAATACACACTTGTGTGTATCCCAGTTAGAACTACTGAAATACACAAACCTACCTGCAAGGACTCCAGCCATATAGACCATGCCTACTTCAAAGCCCTTATGCACCAGCTCCAGGGGAATGCCAAGAAGAAGCTGCATTAACAGGTTTCCCAAGATATGCTCCACCCTAATTAAAGAAAAATTAAAGGTAGGGTAAGGTGAAAAAAAATAATTAAAGGTAGGGTAGGCAATTTTGGAGAGTTTAGCAATAGCAAGCTATCTTTGAAAGCATTTGATCCCACCCTGTCCAAAGCCCCGCCTCCTCTAAAACACATGAAAGCTCAAAGCCAGAGCAGAGTCTACAAACCATCACGAGACACGGCATTAAATTACTGCATGTTTCAAAGGATGTTTCATTTAGACCATTTAATGAACGTAAACAACTTAAAGAGCCATGGGGTCTCATTTATAAAGCGTGCGGACAGGGTTGGAAACGCATGTAGGCCAGTTTCCACACAAAGGTTGTGATCTATAAAAAACAAACTTGACGGGAGAATGTGCGCTCCTTGAAGCAAACTTTGAGCCGTGTGTACGCACATTCTGGAGACAAAGGGAATTGGCGACACTAATGGTGAGCTGAAGTTAAATGTCTTTTTGGTCACTTTTGGACCGAAAATCTAAAGAAAATTATAGCCTATAGGCTACAGAAAGATAATAGCCTACAAATATAATTTCACTCACCAAGCCTATCAATTGAAGCCAATATCCATCCCTTCTTAAGTGTCCGCGCCAGCAAGCGCGTTTTGCCGTAAAGTGAAACCGACGGACAAACAGCCTATAATCTACTACGGCATAACGGCAGATGAAGTAAAACCGTAAATCTTCATGAGTCCTAATAAATACAGTGCATGCGTAACTGTTTTAAAAAGTGTGTGTGTCAATGCTAAATCAGATAAATGTACAATAACAATTTTAGGAAAAAATAACATTACGATGTCTAGAAGTCAATTTCAATAGACCCCTTGTAGCTAGACCGCACGGCTTTTTACCAACTGAAAAGGCGTCTATAGTAACATTACATTTGGTTTAATCAAACGCACTGGCAGTGATCTATTATAGGTCTGTTAGCGCATTAGGTTCAACCCCCTATGGGCTTGTAGTCTTTACAGAAAAGACTGTAACCACAGTGCAACTGTGAAAAGACCCTCTCAAACAGTGTAGTGCCACCACACGTTCTGATCATTGTTAAAGCGACATACACCAGTATTGCAGTATATTAAAAATTAATAACAACAATAAAAGCCGGTTTTCGGTATGAACCGGTATATCGCCCAGCACAGTGGAACAGGAGTTTAATAAACGTCACTAAAATTTACTTTTATTTCATTCATTCATTCAGGATGACAAGAGGCTAAATCAATAGTTTTCATTCAATTTTAAAATGAAGAAAAGGAGCAAATCCCCTTACCCAGCATGTACAAACATGTAGGAGACAAACCGCCATGCTTCCTCACGTTGTTCTGGCTTATAGGTGAGAGGACTCTCCCAGATCCCTGTACCCAGGGTTATCCACTGCTTCTGAGGCTTCCATACTGCATAGTAGATAAACACTCCTAACTGCCAAAGATTGAAAAGAGTTTTGAGAGACAAGACCTTAAGGCTTTATTATGCCAGTTGCCAAAAAGCACTGTGAAAAACATGAAGCCGTGTGTCAATGTCTCAAAAGGCCTTTATTTAGGAAAGATGGTTTAGCAGTATCAAACTTATATTTAGGGACATAATTTTAGTAAAAAAAGTCAGTTTTTAGTAAATATTATGACTCTTTTAAGTGTATTCATTTCCAAGACACTTTTTTCAGTGACTAGGTCTATTTTAAGGAATGTCCACGGAAACAAGGATGAATCTGGCTTTTCAAACACTTTGGCTAAGACTTGCCATACAGGAATGGAAAAGTGGAAAGCGAAGCTCAACAGGATCTCAGTTCTTTAATAGTGACACATCTCAACTAAAACATTCACAAATGAATGGAAATGTACTGGTTGCTGCAGGTTTTTATAAAGAATGAACATACTAATTTAGTATGAATGTTAATTAATTTATTAAACAAGTCTTAACTGTTTTCTTTGTATTTGCAGTATCTGGTCACAGAGGCTATCTGCTTTTGTGGTTTTAAAGGATTTTTAGCTGATTGGCCAATAGATCAGATAAACCAGCTTGGCCAGGCTGGGAGACCATTTTAAACGCCCAAACTTTAAACTGTTGTGTGAGCAAGTGGAAAAGTTCACTTTATAAGATAGCCAGAAAGATCAAATTCCAGGGGTGCAAAGGTTGATGTTTCGCTAAAAAACATTTGATTGTAGCCTACCTCCGCTAAGCTGATGAGGATGATGAAGATTGGTGGCGGACAGCAGTTCGCTCTTTCCAAATACGTCTCCCGTAACTCCTCGGGAAGCATCCATTTGGAAACATTCGAATGTATCTTTTCCACCCTGCGCCGACTCCTCTTCGGATTTGCTCGATTATCACCTTCATCCCTCTGGACGGGAAAAGTGTCTTGCTCTTCTATGTCATTGTCGCCCATTTCTCTTAAAAATGCAAATAAGAAGGGTCGTTTTTTGGATTAGCCTAATTGACAATGAACCAATAAATTTAAGGTTTTAAATTGAAGATTTTTGCATTAGGTTATCGGAAAAGGTTTTTAGAAGGCCAATCTTTGCAATTACAGCAAAGCAAATTTAAAAGAAATCTAAAATGTAGGCTATCATCAAAGCTATTTATATTACAGCTGCACATGCTTTTTCTGAACTCTCTTCCGGAGTTATTGGCTCTTCCTGCATAAACAAACTCATCCTGTATGGAATTATTTTAAGAGATAGGCTATAGCCTACACTTTTCATTTTAGAAACAACTTAATGAAAGAAAAACGTGACTCACACATTTGGTGCTTTTCATAAGTGCTGTTTATGCCCGAACCTACTTTGAATAGATAATTTGCTCATTTAACTTACCCTTTCTTCTGATCCACCACCTCTCACGCGAGTAGCCTACTGGAGATTTCTCTAAGCGCGCGCCGACCAGAAATCATTAATGTCGTTGGTTATTTGAAACTATGATAATAAAAGTCTCCGTTTTTAAAATAGTAAGAAAAACAAAAATATTTGTGAGACCACCACGGACTACAAGACGCTCTCCCTGGACGATAATTACAGCCTTCATCCAGCTTTTCCGGTTCCAGTCTTCCTTCCTCTTGTTCCTAACTAAAGGGTCTGCAGTGCAGGATAGTTTTGTTTACTTTCGTTGAGCAAAAAAAACAACCTCTGACCCGTCAAAGTATGGTAGACTCTTTACCTGAGCTTCCGCAAAACGCCACACCTGAAGTCACGTGATGCAATTCATTGTTTTGAATATTTCGTCCAAATGAGAATACATACACACACAAAAAACTCTTTTCTAAACACTGACAATTAACTAAACATACAACATTTTTGAAAATACATAAAACTCGTTCAAAGAGAATGTTAGTATCCTTTGACCACTAGATGTCACCATTTCCAGTGCAATCTACATTCAGGTTTATGAATTCAGGTACATCCGTTGTGTTGTGGAAATCATGTTAGGGTTTTCCCCGTTTTCCCAAGAATCTTTCATGTAAAGTTCAACTGAAAAGCATTCATTTGAAATAGAATATTTATTTTTCTAACATCATAAATGTACTAAGTCCTAGTTATTTTTCTATGTGACAATAAATGTGACCACATCATGACAAGCCTTAAAAAAATAAAATAAAAAGGCATTTATATGCCACTTACATTATATTCAAAGTCTAAGTCAGTTCAAAAGTGTTATGAGTAACACTGTAATGAGAAACATTTTAAATATTCACTGATAATCTTTACATCCAGTGAGCTATTAATTAAATACTCAAATGCTAGAAGAATTACATTTCAGGTAAAACTGACTTATTTCCCTCTCACACAAGGCTATCATTTGACTCCAGAACACTAACAATTTATGAACCTATGACCCACTTTCATTGTGGTACAACATTTAAGGCTTATCAGCATTATTAAATCCATGAGGAAAAAAAACTGGACATTATTAAAATGTCTGTGCCAAAGCAGAAATTCATAAGTGGATATTGTGTCATTAGCTACTCACATTCATGTCTTTCCAAACATTTGATATGCAACACAAACCTATGCAATTTCCTTCCAAATTATTTGCAAGAAAAAAACCCCAGAATCAATTCAAATGACTTATCACAGATCTTTTATTTGTCAAAAAAGAAAAAAAAGTTGGAGTTAAAAAACAGACTGAAGGATAGAGGGAGAGTCTGGTATATCTGCTGCAGGTCAGTCACATTACATTAAACAGATCGCATCAGCCAAGCTTTTTTACAGCGGTAGTTTGAGATTTTCCCACAAATTCGTAGAGATTAAACTTCCTTAGACTGCATCTAGATATGCATGTTTGAAGTCGGGCCATCAGTAACAGTTCAGCAATAAAAATGAGTTAAATGTGGATAGACCATGGCACCCAAGCATTTTAAGGGGGGGGGGGGGGGGGAGAGATTCAAAAGTGGAAGGAGGAAATTTCAAATGAAATGAAGGGGACTGGTTCTATAGTAACCAGCTGCTGAGAGGTGGCTAGTACCATCTATAATGTTCTTCAAGACACATCTGAAAATAAAGAGACAATAATCAGCATTTGGGCCAACTGAAATCAGCAAAAATTTTAACTGCAATAAATTGCTTGCTTATAGAGGAAGTTAATATACTTACAGCTTGCAGGCCTGGCGCCATATCTTCGCATAATCTGATCCTGTGTGAATTTCACAAAGGACTCGTATTGTTCTTAAGGGGGAAAAGGAAGAGAAACGGCATTTTAACAATTCAGCCATAAACACAAGAGTGGTGAAAGCAGAAACATGACAATGTAGCATGAGGGATAAATAAATATTGATCTAATTAAAGACAGACCTTATATAGCCCGCCCCACTTCGGTCTACCAGTTTACAGAAATATGAATGAACCGCTCATTTTAGAATCTTCCCAGTCTACTGATATTTTGTTATGCATGACATCGGGTTGAACATTTCAACACTTGATAACTTTAGTTCACTTTACAATGGGTAAAGCTTCACCAGCAAATTACTCTTCGACAGTGATGTCATAGAAATAGACAAACAAGGACGTTCATAGGAAAAAATTGTAGAGATGGCTGCATGCTTCTTTCTCTGGTGCGTAAAGTCTACACACTTAAGGAACTGGTGTGTGGTTTTTTTTTTTATCTTAATGAGAAAGGCATGAACTGATGAAGCCAACACACCATTGGGTGGAATCTGCAATTTATTGTACCTGCAAGCTTTGTGTTCAGTATCTGTTCGTACTCTTCGCGCATCTTCTCCTCGTGATCTTTGATAAGGCGCTCGCACAAATAGCCAACCTGCCTCAGCGTGAACAGTGGCTGATCCTTCTTCAATGTTGAGGCACCTAAAAACACACAACTCTGAATAAGCATTCTTGACCATGTCACTTTACATTCAATTTGCAAAAAACCTAAAGGAATCTATAAGAATCGGAATAGTTCAAATGATACCCAATCCTACTCACTTAAGCTGCATTTATTTGATCTAAAGTATAGTAAAAAACAGCATACTGTGAATCTTTATTTTAATATATTTAAAAATTGACTTTATTCTGGTGAAGTTATTTTGAATTGTACAGCTTTCAGTCTTCTTTAGTTTAGAATAAATTCTACGATCCTTTAGAATTTATTCAAATATGCCAATTTGTTTCTTAAACATTTACAATGATCTATGCTAAAAACAGTGCAGCTTAATATTTTTTGTGGAAACAATTATTTTTTTAAAAGATTCATAAGAATATAAAGTCCAAAAGAAAAGCATTAAAAAGCATATTTGAAAAAAAAATCTTTTTTTACCAAATGTCTTATGTCACTTGACTATTTTAATCCTTGCTGAATAAAAGTATTAATTTTTTTTTAAATCAAACGGCAGCATATACTAAAACGCTTGAGCAGAGCACTTCTTACAACTTACAATATCCATTTGAATAAAAATCATCAGTACTAGAGAATCTTAGCTCACAGCTTTAATAAAGACTAAACAGAATGTTTGAGTGGTTTTCAAAAAGTATTCGACATTACTGATGTCAAACTCGACACACTGCATCTTTACAATGCACATTTGAAATTAAAGCCAGGAGCCCAATCCTGATCCTAGAGAGATTCTGTCCAGCAAAAAGGAGCTCCAACCCTAATCAAATACACCTAAAAATATTCAAGAACAGGTGTGCTGGAACTCTGTGGGAAGGCAGATCTCCAGGAACCGGATTGGGCATCCCATGTCTAAAAAAAGTTGATAAATGGTTTAAGCATCTCAATGGACATGGTTTTCAGTGGACTGACCTGTGGGAGAGCTGGGGGAGGTAAGGGCGGGACTGGAGCTCTGGATATCAGTGGAGCTGCAGGGCTCAGTCTGGTTGAAGGCCCCTTCTAACTGCCGTCGCCTCTGATAGCGGCTGTACTCCTGACGAATGTTCTGGAAGATCTGTTCTGTTGGGGTCAAAGGAAGACAAATCAAGAGAATGATGTCATTTCAGCTTACATTAAAAAAGAAAATTCAATGAAAACTAACAATAAAAATGCTATTCAAATTGCTACATGTTGCTTTGCTGGCATGAATGCAGTGAAACCCTAAAGCATGCAAACTAAAAATCAGTTGTAGCTGAATGCACTAGGTGGCGCTGTGGAGCATGATAACAAGTTGATTGTATTTGATCACAGAATTTCATCAACTGCCTCCAAGTACAGTGAAGTTTGGAATAACTAGATAAAAAAAAAACTATTTCACAAAATTTGATCAAATGGATCAACGTGAGGAAACCATGTCAGTTGAAATGGAGTTATCATTAGGGCTGTCACCTAAATTAAATTTGGCTATGATATATATCTATATCTATAGGTTTTTTGGTAGTAATGAACATCGAATATTCAACACTTCAGAATCTCTTTCTGTCTGTTTGTTTGCATTTTGATTTCAAGAACCGTTCATCCAAACGACTTCATAAGGCTGTGCAGTGTCGTATTTGGTGCAATTTAGATAGACAGCAGAGATGCAACATGTTCAGAATTAATAAACCTTTTATAGATTACAGAACAGTTTGAACGGGAAACGGCATGCCTCACGCAAGCAGAGCGTCTGTGCAGTATTTTATTTTATAAAGGCTTCACTATTTCGGAGAAAGGAGTCCCCCCAAGGCAAGAAGAGAAAGACCCAACTTGAAGAGAAGAATCTCACTTTGCAAATAATGAGTCTATATAATATATTAGTTTCACATTTTAGATTGAATTACTGAACTAAATGAACTTTTGCACGATATTCTAATTTTCCGAGTTTCACCCGTATGAGGTGAAGAAAAACAGCAGCAATCACTGGCTTTACTTCAGCAAGCACACACACAATGCACAGAGGATATCCTGCTTCCAGCATGGGTCCCATGACGAATAGTGTGAAGAAATAAGTTTCACTTCAGTTTTACAATCAGCCACAATGGTACACTGACATCACCACTAATACACATGCTAGGCTACATTAGGGGAAAATGGGATGCGGGTTAGTTTCGTTTGTCTTTGTGGAGGGTCAGGCTTATGTCTGGTTACCGAATCTGGGTGATGGGACTGCAATGCGGTGGGCAGCAAATGCAACCAGGAACCTCCAGATTCCTTTTCTCTACAAAACTGGGCTGTGTTTAATCCCCCATCCAAATCTTTAACACCAGCAGATGACTCAAAACAGATTAGAAACCTGCATGACTTCCATGAGCCAAACTCTTTAAAATTATATTCAATAAGTCTTAATTCATCACAAAAGTGGGTATTTGGAGTTTAATCGTTTCAGCTTCCTGAATGTAGATAATTTAAAGCTTCAAGAGTGGACTAACACCAGGGTACATCTATCTGCTGCGCCTGCATCACTTATCTTGGGTGTGGAGCTCAGAATTTCCGCCCTTCTGAAGGCACCGGCCTTTAACTAACTAAAAGATGACCAAAAGAACGAAAAAAAGTGATGACAATCAAAACAATGAAAGCATGGCAAAGCGGCTCTCCACGGCTCTGCTTTCGTCGGCAAAAAAGAAAGAAACTCAACACTATAAGCCATCAGTGTCGAGCAGAGCAGTTCACACGCGACTTATGCAGTGTTAACACAGACTAATTCACTGCCACATATTGCGTTGCATTCATTTTTTTTAACACTATTTAAAACATGTAGCATATTCTTTCAGTTTTATTTCCTTGGCCCAAATTTGGGAAAAAATAAAACGGATTTCATTGGACCCTACATTTGCGATAATATCGCAATATGATGAAACGTGATTTTGCAACCGCAGAAGCAGTAAAAGAGAAAAGCAGTCAGCAAGATCATCATCAAGCATCAACTTGGCATGCTACGCATATAGGTCTGGTATACAGCAAAGAACATTTTATTTTTTAATGTATGTGATAGTGTTATTTATTCTCTCTCCAACAATTCTGGATGGATTCAGAATTTCAGAATCCAATCTGAGCTTAGTTTTTAAAAACAGATGGAAGAACATTGTGGCCGCCGGAGCAACTTCCCTCCGTTAATGCCTATTGCGAGTCATGCAGGTACTGGGCAACTCCACAGCAGAGCCGACCCAAGGGAGAAAAAAAAAATAGTCCGAATTAGGGATGCAAATTATCGATTAATCGTTAGCTGATAAGCGGCTATTTTCCTGAGAATGTCAATTTCTCACGGTATCAATAGTGTCTTTAACAAAGCAAAATATTACCTATATAATGAATAAAATACTGAATGTTATATTGCTTAATTTATGTTTTTATTGTAACAGTTGGGATTCGGTACAGATTAATGGCATTTATATAGTTTAAATAAATGATGCACAGAAAATGCATTAAAGATAATTGCGCACTGTCTCGCCTGTTGCACGTGAAACATTAAGGAACAAAATACATTTAAAACAAATCTATAAGGGTAGGCTTAGCCTACACCAGGGGTGCCCAACCCTGCTCCTGCCGATCGACTGTCCTGCACACTTCATCTCCAACCCAAATCAAACACACCTGCCTTTAATTTTCAAGTGATCCTGAAGACCTTAATTGGTTGCTTGCTTCAGGTGTGTTCGATTAGAGTTGGAGATAAACTGTGCAGGACAGTCGATCAGCAGGAGCAGGGTTGGGCACACTTGGCCTACACTATATTAAGCTTGCATATAATAATCTAAACTACTTGTATGAAAAACTTGAAACATTAGCAGCAGCACTTATAATCCCCCTTGGTCTGAGAAAGGTAAAAGTAAAATTACCATAAGAATGTGTCATTACACACTTCGAACAAAAGCATATTTTAACACGGCTTGCCCAGTCAAGTGCTTTGATGGATGTGCGAACTATTTAAATTTACAGACGCGTTTTCCTCAATGCATAACTTCTTGTATTTGAAATCTTAATGGGTTATTCACACTTCCTAATGGTTTAGTTCACAATTACCTGTTAATTTTAGAAAATTATTTAGCAAATACTTGCCTGACAGGACAGTAAGACTTCAGTGAACAAGGCAGCCAGACGGAGTACAATCTAATAGAACTTCAATAATTCTGACTAAAATACTTCATAATATTTATCGTTAAATGTTTAAGGCAACAACAACATTGTAAATAATGGATTACAATATTTTTAAATCACGAATGGATTTTCCATTAAATTAAATAAATAAGTCTAATAGCTGTAATAAATAATTGTTAGTTGAAGCCCTACTACAGGATTTTCCATTAAATTAAATAAATAAGTCTAATAGCTGTAATAAATAATTGTTAGTTGAAGCCCTACTACAGAAGAAAGTCTAAAAAGTTTTGAATAAAAAAAAAGATGAGAAAAAGAAATGCGTGAACTAACTCATTAAGTTTCCAGATCATGGAATAATCCATTTTAGATACAATAGAGACAAATTCATAAACTTAATCAATGGGCAACGCCAGACCCCTTGAACAACAGGTAAATCCCTCTGCCTGTATCAAATGCTGGCAAATGCTGAGACCAGGTCCAACAGGTTACTTGGCAACTGTAACCTTATACGGTCAAACCAAGCAATCAATCACTGTGGCTTCCTGAGAGAGGATGGGGAGCGATTCAAGGCCTAAAAGCACAGAACATGGATAATACAACTACAATGGAAGTGTGGGATGAACTGGACTGGGGGAGGGGAGTGTAAGTGGGTGTAGAGTTGAGGCATCTCATTCACTGCACGTTCGAGACTTTGAGGGAATTAAAAAAAAACCCAAACTGGCAGGAAGTGCCCTCAAGCTAAGAGCTCAAGCCCAGGGTGTGTTCCTGCAGGGAGCTTGATTTGCTTTGTTTAGGATTTGGTGTGTTAGACTCGTGGGTTGGGCTTTAAGGGCAGTCATATTCCATCCAAGCCATTTTAACAAGGGCAATGATGGGCAAACAAAGAACAATTACATTAGTTGAAATCCAACTGGTCACTTATGCATTCGTTAGCCAGCAAAGTTGTACATTTAAAGCTAATGAAGTGAGAAAGCAAACTATATGGCCATGCAGGTCATTTCAGTTCTTATTCAACAACACTAAGACATATTTTGTTATTTTGATTAGATAATCAATAGTAATAAAATAGAAGCATATAACATGAGACCATATACATTAGGGCCGGGTATTGACACAAATTTCACAATTCGATTTGATTTCGATTCACAAGCCTGCAATTCGATTCGATTTCGATCCCAATTCGATTCAATATTGATTATTTTGGATATCAGTTACAATAAATGGCAAATGTTCAAGGAAATCAAATCTCTTAAAGGAGAACTCCGGCGAACAATGAACCTTTGGTCTAATAAAACATCGGTACATAGTAAACCGTTCTCTGAAATTTGTTTTCATGATAATCGAATGTAAAGAGTTTTATCTCTAAAAACTGTTTAGCGTATAATGCTAGTAATGGGGGCATTGACTAAGTAAAAAGAAATCGCTAGTTTATACCACTAACAAGGCTCAAAATAGTTCTCCTTTAACTAATGCTGTAAACTATGGGAGTCTAGTTGTAGCCTACTAGGCTTCATTAGCCAAATATGAAGGTAATAATTAACTGTTTTGTAGCTATACAAACACTTAAATAACACTTATTTCTTTTTATAATAAGAAGATTACATGAAATATAAACATTTAAATGGTGGCTGTCATAACTTGCCAGATTTATTCAAATATGCATTAAATATTGAAGAATATTAAGATTATAATGCATAATATGTAATATGGTGTATATATTTAGCAAAATGCTCCTCTCTAGAGTTATTTTTTCTAGCTGACTAACGAGTTTGTGGGTTTTCTCAGGTAAATATGACGATACATGACATTGATTACAAACTGGGTTGTACTCTAAGTTGTACTCCATCTTTGAACACACTTTCAGATGCTCATTCATGTTTATTTCACACTGTGACTGGTATTATTAAGCCGGAAGAGAGATCAGCGCTGCTGCTTCTCTTGAGCTGAGCCAGAGCGATCTCACGCCACAGCACCAAAACGTTATTTATGTTTTTGAATGGACGCAATTTGAAAATTGAGACTTTCATATCAATAGTAACAAAGGACAAAGATTATTGCGATTTTTTTTGGATGTGCACTTCCGAGATACAATGTTCCATTCATTCAAATGAAACAGGATGACTAATCGATTCTTGAGATTTAAGAATCGATATCGGTTCGTAAAAATAAGAAATCGATATTTATTACCCAGCCCTTTATATGCGTGTCTTATTTCAATGCTATGGCCTTTATGTAGATATTTGGATATGGTGTCAATGACTGGCCATCTTGAAGCATGACTGTTCGGATTTATATGAAATGGTAAGACTTTACAATAAGATTCCATTTCTAACATTAGGATAATAAATGCTGTATAAGTATTGTTCCTTGTTAGATTGTTTAATTTCAACAATCAATTACATTTTAAAATTGTAAAGTTGTATCTGTTAACTTTTATGTGCTATGAACTAACATGAATAAATCAAGGTCTCAATTAAGTACAGTCAATTAAAAAAAAAAACCTCTTGTTTGATCAAGTCATCGGTCAGTGCGGTCCAACCTAGTTATCCTTATCAGTAAAATACAATATTGGTCGACCTCTACTCAATCACAACAACTTCCCCTCCCACTCCCAATGACATCTTATCTCTGATGACGTGTTTACAATAGTAAACAAACCCATGATCCTTTCAATTCCAGATGGACAAATCCCACCCTACATTTTTTTTTTCAGATTCACTTGACTAAACGTCACAATAGGAAATAACAGTAGGCCTGCCCCCTATTAGTAGACTAGACATTAGTCATCAAGGTTTAGTTGACCAAATTTTAATTAGCCGTTCAGTTTAGTCACATGAAAAAAAACTACAACAACAAAAAAACCTTCACAGGAATTGGTAAAGTTCCACAGTCCGATGGATAGATCGTAATTATGGCCCTGTCCCAAATGACGCACTTCATGCACTTAGAATGGATGCCGTGTACGACTGTTCGATAAGTCCACAAGACCACAGGGTGTTCGATTTGTTAGGGTGTCCGATTTCAGAAAGGGTTTGCGCTCAATCCTGAAACTCAAAATCATCAAATGTGCGACTAGTCGAATAATGCCTTCTTAAATGAACGACTAGGCTATGAGCTGACTAGAAAAATCTTTAATCAGGGGCAGAACTAAATAAAAGACCATTTCAACTTCTGTTTAAAGCTGCTATAAGCACTCCCGGTCAGAAACAACCAATCAGAGCCAGGAGGAATGTCTCAGTGTCAATCATGCTTGTGTACACGCTAATCACACCCCTCTCTTGCACATCGCGTGCCGTCGTTCAAAACAAACTCAAGATTGCCGTGTGCCGCAGCTGTACTAATGGCAGAGAAACAACCTAAACTGCCAATTTCTCGAGTGGCACCTGCTCATAAAACAAAGACGGGTAAAAAGAAAGACTGATAACGATAAACAAGCGAAAAAGGAATTAGACAGCCCATTGTCTCGGTGTAAAAACTCTAGCCATGTAACATGTAGATAAAATGTCAAGCACTGTGCAAAGCAACAATTTAAACCTGCTAATTCACTGGCTTGTCACGTTGCTGAGATAATATTGTGGTGAGCAGGACAAGGACGAGAGTTATAATGAACAATACCTGTAAGACGCACCGGTCTCACATCTTTTACATAGAAGCGGAAGCATAAACAGAGGCCACTTAATAAAAGTGCAGGGGCGTGTGCTTGTGATTGATTCAGCGAGAATGAGGGCGGGGCCTTGAATTTCGTGGCTTTACTTACTGCTCACGACTGGTCTCGAAAACGCAAGTGCACAGACTCAAGTTCTAAGATCTCACCATATCAGGACATTGGCGACTTCAGTTCTCTCTGATAGAAAAGAGCGAAGGGGCGTCGTCCATCTTTTTTTTACAGTCTATGTTACAGACTGTAAAAAAAAAAAAAAAATAGCTCAAATGATTCTCCCTGGCTTCACTCACTTTAGCTACATCTACCGCGTTCAGTGAATGGCTGAGAGGAGCAGCAGCACATATCTGTTGAGCACACGGTCGGCCACTGACGGACGTGAATGAGCAGTGTTTTTACACTGACTTATCTGGTTGTCCTTGGGCGTTCCATTGTGTGACAATATATTGGACATGAGAACAGCTTTATTTTACATCCAGCTATATTATATTATAATATTAAATACAGTATGTGAGCTGAGCATTAATTTATAGAGAAAACACATTAGGCAAGCAGCCCGCAAGTACGACGCGATGACGTCACGCATACGCTAATTAACGTATGACGTAACCTAGCGACTTTTAGGGGAGGCGTTAACTACTTTCATTTGAAAATAGTTGGCAACACTACTGACTTTACGTTCTGTTTTGTGTGCCAGCAGTCATCCGTCAGGGGCTGCTGGATAATACTTTCATTTTGGTATTTGTTTATTTATTTATATTATTAAAGTTGTTGAACGTTCGCCTGTTCCCTCCCCCATCCAGGATGCAAACTCTGTACCTAAATTAAGAAATAAACGATGATAGCAAAGTGATATAGTTTGCTCTGAACTTTACTTTTGTCATTTATGTCAGTCACGGTTACCCATTTAATCAATGTGGCGTCTTTGATTTATTTTTATTTTTTTAAAACATGAGAATTACTTGGCTGTTTTACAAGCGCCAAACGGGATTGGCGTGTTCGCCAAGTGGTCCAAAAATTTCGGATAAAAGCAGTGCAAGTACACAAACAGACTAACGTTATAATATTATCCATGTTAAACATCAAATTACTGGAAGTTTGTTTGACTTGGAAAAATTTCGCATGGGCTATTTTATGTATATATCACACATAATATGAACACTTGTGTTTTTAGATACAATTGTTAAATTGAAAATAAATAACGCCAATCCACCCTTGCGCACATACCCACCTTTCCTCTTTGTTTGGACGTACTGGTTCAATCCTGCTGGTAAACTAATTGGCTAAACGCAGAGATAAACGTTCACTATCCAGGCCAGAGCCAGGCATTTGTAGAAAAACATTGTCATGTATTGTTTTCGGTAGTAATGGTCGATGACTATGTGTGTGTTCACACTAAGCCATAGGAGTTAAATGAAGCTCTGTGTCAGCTAGTCTGTAGCGACCGCTTTCAGCCTAGCTAGTCGAGCTCAAAACAGCTATTCATCCAAACTGCATAATTACCGGTAGCGTTGACTACAGTCCATACCAACTACCCACCACAACCATACCATCCTTTAAGAAAAGGCATTAATACACATTCAAATCGCTACTCAAAGCAGCTTGGTGTGGTGTTACATTAACGGACTGTCGAAATTCAAAAATCCACTAACGTTAGCTGGTTAGCTGAGATTAAACAACCCCCATTCCCCTCCTCCATGTCAAACAACCCAACGTTAAATGGCGAGACTCAAGCATTTTTCTCACCTGGAGTTAGCCTGTGTTCTCCAGCCATTGACTGGGGCGACATCGAGTGTGCCGGGCTCTCTGTTGACGGACGAAGACCGCATCTCTGCGGGGATGGAGTAGTCGGAGTCCCCGGTAGAGGATTGCACCTCCTTCGCTTGGGGGACTGCGGGCTGAGAAGGGCCTCAAACTCCATAGATCGCTTCAACGTCGCGCCACAAGCCATGGTCGCTGATTTAATGAAACAATAAACTACACCGGTAAAATACAAACTTTTTTTGATAATAAAATGCTCAGATTTCCTTCTCTTATTCGACTTTTTCAGGGGGTTTTATTGAGCTTCGCACGTTAGCGGCGGCCCCCCCTCTGTTCGCACACCGGTTTTAACACCAAGTGCCAGATTTGTAGCAAAAATGCTAAAACGACACAGCCGAGGACTGTACCATTCACTGCAAGGCGGGGGGGGGATTGTTATAAACGAGTTCAATTTTTCTCAAATAAAGTTCTATCATAACTTTTTCTTTTATTAAGTACAAAAAACCATTCACGTGGTTTAAAATATATAGCAAAATTATAAGCTATATGTTAATTAATTTTTTACTTTATAAGTAAATCTACTACAGTAGTATTGGTACCAACCCGTGAGTTGTGGATTATGTTAATGCCCTCTTTCAACATAGTTTCCAGTGATGTGCAGCTCCAAATCAAAACGATTATTAATAATGAAAGTGATAGTTATACTTACTCGGGTTTATGCTTGCCATTGTTTAGCTTTTCCTGTATAAACAGGCCTCTTGCTCCGAAATATGTGTGGAGGCTGTTTGAATTGAAACGAACACCTTTTATTATAAATTTACTTAATATTTTTATAGAATATTTAATATATTTTAAGATGTACGATAATGATCTATATCTTCCTTATGATTATAATACATAGGTAAATATATAAAATGAATACGTTATGTACAACATTTGCTTAATATTATTAATGTATAATATTTGCTATTTTTCAATATATGTCAATATGTTTTTCTAATTTAAACAATAAGCTATATACTCACGGAACTCTTTCAGTTTTTTTTGTTTTTGTTTGTTTGGTTTTTTTTAAATTAGTTTTTGGATTAGTATTTGGATTTCATTCTAAGAAAAAAAAAGTTTCCATTTTCACTCCTCCAACAGCTTCATCCTGATTGGTGCCTTGCAATCATTTGACTCTGATCAATATTTATTGAGCTTATTTGACCAAAGACCATGTTTCTGGAGGATTTGCATGTTGGAATTTGTTTGTGTTGGCCATCAAAGCAGTCTTTCAAATCATGAGGAATAACTTCCTTACTGTCTCTTAACACCTCTGTTTAGACATAGTGTTTGGTAATTGAATATTATACATTCCCCATATGAATATCACACTTTTAAATCCCAACATTTGTCAATTTTGACTTAATCCAATGAAAAAAACTGTAAAATGTAAAACATATTGGAAGCTAATAATGTAGGCCTAAAAAATCCTCAAACTGTGCTGTATCATCAAGAGAGTTAATATTCAGGAAATGTGTTTTTAATGATCTATCAGTAAATTAATTGGTCAGATTGAAGTGTATGGTTTCTTAAACAATGTAACAGTAATTCATACATGGCATACAGTATTTTATTGAACATACAATTATGCAAAATAGTACCTTAAAAGTCTATAAATACCTTATAAGACTATACCAATTACATTGGATTTTGCACTATTAGCAGACTCTTTCTTACCAAAGCAACATATAATAATGTAGGCCTACTTAGTGTATCATAACATTTATCATTGTGACATACAGCCAAGGCAAATTACAGAGTGCTACAAAGCATATTGTTCAATCGATCCAAAAGGGGAGGTAAAGTTTTTGCCTGTAGTCATCAATAATGCTGAAGGTATTTTGTTTCACAGTGTAATCTATATTCTGTATATTGGCATCTTTTATGTTTGACACAAAATGTAGCAAGTGATTTGCCTGTTCTGAGTTCTTAATTGCACTCCTGTAGAAAGGATAAGCGGTATTATATATACAAAATATATATATAATATTATATACAAAAGCTGATCACAAGCTACATACTATACACTGACCTCATGATGCTCATGATAAAGTTCTTATAGGTATGCCAACTTCTTCCTTTCATATTTTCCACACTTTACAGGATATCCTACAAATTCTTTTCAATGTAACAACAATGTAACTGCAATGCCTACTATGATAAAAAAAAAAAACATACATTTTCTGACCTTTAAAATGGATGAAAATAATGAACAAAATATTTTATAAATAAATAAAACTTTATGAGACTTGAATACTGTTTTGCTGGTTGTCTACACTCTCAGAAATAGTATCTGGATTACTATTACTCACTGCCTGATCCTTGCTCTTTTTGCCGGACCTATTTTCATTTCTTATGCTATATGCAATTCCCAAAGTATGTTCCCTGCATGCCATGCAACATTTGAACAGTGCTAACAGTTCTCCCCTTAGCTCTCGACAGCGTAGAGCGTATAGGAGCGGGTTTACACTCGAGTTCACCAAGCAAAGCGTGCTACAGAAAGCGAACATTCGCTGTTGTTTATCCGTAAGGGTCACCATGACATCCACCACCATAAAGGACAGGACAGGCAGCCAACAAACCGCGAGGATTAGGAGGATCAGACTGAAGGTACGAGCAAGCTGAATGTCCATTCGCATTCGAGCCTGTCCATTTATACTCGACCTTCCACACTTTGTTCCGCTCATAGCTGATTCATGGCGGTTTGCTTTCAACAGGATGAGGGCATTAGCTACTGTGATAAGGAAGAGCACCACCAGTTGCAGGCCCGTCCAGCAGGCCAGGTAGTGATGATCCACATAGGGGAAAAGACGGGAACACGGAGGATCCAACCAGGTTGTGCACCTCCAACCCATCAGAGGAAGGAATGAAATTATAATCGTTACACACCATAATAATACTATAGCGAGCTTGGCCCTTTTGCAAGTCAATAGCACCTTGTAATTGGAAGCCCGGTAGATGCAGAGATAACGGTCCAGTGCCGTCAGCAATAGACTTCCCACAGAGCCCGTGAAGGCCATTGTGACGCCACCCAGCTTGAACAGATAGATATTAGCGCCGTCGTCTTTACTATATAGATGGAAATCTAGAAAACTGATGGTGAAGAAACAGCTGGCAAAAGTGTCAGCCAGTGCCAAGCTGCTGATGAACAGGTATGATGGGCGTCTGCGCAGAGTGGCGGAGCTTGCAATGACCATCAGGACCAAAATGTTCTCCAGGAAAGTCACAGGACCAGCTAGATAGCAAATTGAGCCAATAGCTTTCTTCTCTGGAGTGGTCAGGACCATGTAGCACTGCAGGCTGTTGCACAAGCTCGGATCTGCAACAATTCAGGAACAAAAATATTCAAAATAATCATTTTTTTTAAGATAAACAATTAATATTATTCATATTTTAAACAAGTATTTAATAAAGAGTACTTTTAAATACGTTCAAATATTTGGGGTCAGTAGGATTTTTTTATGATTGGTCTCTTATGCTCACCAAGTGTTTACAGTAATATTGTGTAATATTATTACAATTTAAAATAACTATTTTTTCATTTTTTTTATCTATTTAAGATGTGATTTATTTCTATGATGATAAAGCTGAATTTTCAGCAGCCATTACTCCAGTCTTCCATGTCACGTGATACGTCAGCTGAATTGGAGATGAAGAAACATTATCAACAGTTGAAAACAGTTGTGCTGCTTGATAACTTTGTGGAAGCCATGATGCAGTTGTTTATTTATTTATTTTCTGAAATTATTTGAAATAGAACTGTTTTTGTAAAAATGTAAGAGTCTTGTACTGACTTTCAAATTAATTAATTTGAAAAAAAAAATCCTTAAAATTTACAAGTAAAATGATCACAACACAACTTGATCATGATCATAGATATAGACCGTAGAAAATGTGAATGAGAAACTATACCTGTTGTCGAAATGTTTGTACTTTCATTTAAATAAAGCACAGTGGGAGCTTCTTGATCTTGTTCCAATTCACTCTCCATTTCCCCAGGACAGAATTTATCTATTAAAAGTAAATTATGAATCATGAAACTTTGATTTTGGAGTCTGACATGATTAAGAGGGATAAAATACTCATTCAAAATGGCAAAGTCAAACATGTCTCCAAGCAACATTTTATTAGGCTAATGCATTCTATAAATAAAATGACATTTTTCAGGCTGAATGCCTTAGATTTGAAAGAGAAGTGATGTAACATTTAATGTGAAATAATCAGCCTATAAACCACACTGTGACCTAAAGCTGTTCAATAGATTAGAGAGTTACATATTGCCCTCTGCTGGCCAAAGGACCACGCAGATTTATTACAAGAGAAGGATGGACAAGTGAAGCAAAACTATCAGTGTTCAGAAAGCAGACACATGGTTTAACAATATAATGAAGACTAATCTGTTTAGTTAGGTAAATAGTAAATTAAATGGTCTGCTCCCATTTCATTGTTCCCTCCTTCCACGATCACCTTATTCATCCTTTCCCTAAGAATCACTAATTTAGTTTTCTTCTTTATCCTCCCACATTTTCCAAAGGTGCATTAGCTCTTTTTCTTAAAATTTCTGGAAATGTTAGATAATGTTTCAGTTAAAGCCACTTCTCATGTTAGCTTTCTAGAAGGGCTTTCCCGCAGAGTCTTTGTTCCTCCCAAAATTTCTTCCTCATTTAGACTACTCAAATATTTTTTTTAAGTTTTTCCTTTGCCACTTTCACCTTTGGTAGCACACTGGGGGTTAAATGATTTTTCTTTTTATTTATCTTCTTTAGTTTTCTCATTTCTGTAAAAGTGTTTTAGAACAATCTGTATTGTAAAAAGCTATTTGAACTGACCATAAGACAAAGGACTGTACAAATCACCTTATGAAAGACATCTGAAAACTTAAACATAAAATGATGGCGATAAAATGTAGAAGAGACACATCCTCAGGTTAAAAAACAACAAACAAACAAACAAAAACAAACATATCCTCAGGTTAAAGCTTTCACACAAGAGAATCTTAAAAGGATAGACCCAAACATTAAAAATGTGGCATATAACTTACTGACCCTTAAGTTATTCCAAACCTGTTTGAGTTTATTTCTTCTGATGAACACAAAAGAAGATATTACCAACATTCTTGAAAATATATTCTTTTGCTTTTAACAGAAGAAAGAAACTCATACAGGTTTGGAACAACTTAAGGATCAATAAATAAATGTTGACAAAATTATAATTTTTGAGTGAATTAATAACAATTTACAACATGTCTTACAAATAAGGGCAAGAAAAAAAACTGCAGTTACTTTTACCCATTTGAGTTTTTTCAGTTCAGGATTGTTGGCATAGTC